CTGGGCCCCCAGCTGGCAAAAGGAAACTGCACTGCCAGGGGTTATAACTTGGGGGCTCATGGACACAAAGGTCCAATGACAGAACCCAGGCATGTTGTAAGCCTGGATGGGGGTGGGGGATGGGGGAGGGTAGAGAATGTACACATTTATTTTCACTAACTTCCAGTTAAATTTCAGCATTTCTTTTGATTATGGGCACAGGTAACAAACTGCATACAGTATTAGCAATTCTTGTGACTTTGTCACACATAAATGACATTTTAATATCATAATCCAGCTGTTATCCGCTTAAAACATACATTACTCAATTATGAATATTTTGGTAAATTATTTCAACCTTTATGATCTCAAATATTTTATGCAATTAAAACATTCTGGCAGGGCACGGTGGCTCATGCCTGTAATCCCAGCACTTTGGGAGGCTGAGGTGGGTGGATCATGAGGTCAGGAGATCGACACCATCCTGGCCAACATGGTGAAAACCCATCTCTACTAAAATACAAAAATTAGCCAGGTGTGGTGGTGTGCACCTGTAGTCCCAGCTACTTAGAAGGCTGAGGCAGGAGAACTGCTTGAACCCTGGCGGCGGAGGTTGCAGTGAGCTGAGATCGCACCACTGCACTTCAGCCTGGGCAACAGAGCAAGACTCCATCTCAAAAACAAAACAAAACAAAACAAAACAAAAAACATTCAGAGAAGTCTACAGGATTTGCCAGGCTATCAAAGGAATTCGTGGGACAACAACAACAAAAAAAGTTAAGAATCCCTAGAAAGCCCTATAAATTTTAGCTGTTACATTCTATGAATGCACCATATACATACACATTCTTGAGCAGGATAGAAATCTGCATTTTATTTATTTTTATTATTTTTTGAGACAGAATCTCACTCTGTCTCCCAGGCTGGAGTGCAAAGGCACCATCTCGGCTCACTGCAACCTCTGCCTCCCGGGTTCAAGTGATCCTCATACTTCAGTCATGCAGCTGGGATTATAGGCATGTGTCACCAGGCTCAGATAATTTTTGTATTTTTATTAGATACAGGGTTTCACCATGTTGGCCAGCCTGCCCTCAAGTGATCTACCCGCCTCAGTCTCCCAAAGTGTTGGGATTACAGGCATCAGCTGTGGCCCCCAACCCAGAAATCTGCATTTTAAATACATGCAAACATTTTGAATCCTATATAATTTAGAAAGAGAATACCATCATATTAGCAATACTATCCATTCTTTTGTGAAAAGCATGCTTTTTAAGGTTTCTTCTGTATCCTGTTAAGGAGTTTTGGGAATACCATATTAAGAATAAAAAAAGCCCGAGGGTTCGAAATCCAAGAAACTTACCAGCAGCCCTAGAAAACAAAAATCAAAGGCCCCATACCAATCTAGAAAGATTATAAGAAGAAGTGGAAAGAGGTACAACCTCCCTCCTCACCTTACACCTTAGCTGTCCCTTTAACGGAGCACCCATGCCCCCACACTACCTTACAGGGTACATCACAAAGTCTCAGAGAAACTGAAGGTCTGAACAACCCAAAGTCAGTAGGAAACCAGCTACTTTGACAACCACTAATCACCTGATTTGAGCACCCATGGAAACAACAAAAGTCCCTAAAACCTAGAGAACATCATTATCCACTTTAATAGCTGTTCGGACTTCCCCTCAAAACCCTGTATTAATATTTTCATTAACAAAAAGTATATACCCTATCATTCACTTTGCTGTCGAAAGCTATTAGAAGCTGTAAAAATAACATGGGTCACTTATAGCAGGTCATGCTATAAAGAACACTGGATTTGTTATCAGAATTTTAGACTCTTACTGACCACATGATAGCTGTGATTACATCAGGAAAATCACTTTACTTTTGTGCCTCAAGTTCTTTAGGTGCCCTGATTCTACAACAGAGATTCTGTGTAGCAGAATACCTATACAAATATATTAGTTATAAAAAATGCTATTAAATGATGCTAAAAATATTCAACAATTATCAGTCTGAAATATACTCAAACCAAATGAAGAGCCTCTGAATGACTACTCAGTTTCTTCATGTTATGATTGAGGAATAAATGGAGAGGCAGCAAGAGGACACAGATACCCGCCTGGATCCCAGCAAGGAGACTAGCTACTTCTGAAGGGTAAAATAAATGAAGCAGACATGAGGGTTTACAGATGTCAAAGTCTGACGTACCAAGTTCTCTGCTGCTGTTACATCTTTTCTTCTTCCAAGTAAAGACAATAAAAATGAGTGGGTGGAGATATTTTGGTCCCCAGTAAAGTCAAGTTTAAGAAGAAACCCTGCCACTATGTAAGAGAATAAAGCTACAATAGATCAAATGCCAGTGTGTTCTGCAAACAAGGCTAGCACCATTATCAGAGTCTAAGAAACATTAGGCACCAGTGTACTCTGGAATGAACATATAATAGTTGGACTGAAAATCAGAGACCCAAATCCTAATCTGATTTTTGCTACTAAATGAAGTAATATAACTTTGTTAAATAATTTTTTCTGAGATTTTATCTACAAATTAGGAAAAGACTATTTTTCACTTTTCAAACTGTAACACTATCTTATAGATACATAGATGTGAATTCATAAAATCTCATCCAATTACATTAGGTATTGAAATAAAGGTGTCTCTAAGTGTAAAGAATACATATTTATGACCAGTGACACAGATCCTGAAGACAACACTATATTAGAAGCTCTAATGTAAGACAGGGCTTTAAAATGTAGAAAATTAAATAGGCAAAACACAGCAAATTCATAGTCAAGATCAGGTTTCAGGAGTGAAAAGTCAATCACCATCATCATTCTTACTTTATCACTTAAAAACATACTTACACCACTAAGTAATTCTCAAAAGACATGTTACTGAGTTTTTACAAAATTCTCCGTTTTGAATTCTTAAATATGGTTAAGAAGAATGACACATGAAAAGGAGGTCCTGTTTTTTCCTACTGATGGCCCTTCTCAAACAGTTATTCTGCTCATTTCTCCTTACAAGAATATGTATTTAAAATACTAGCACTTTAGAATCTTCAGTGGGATTTCAGAAAAGAATCATGGGAAATGATTACCTTTAAAATAATTTTGTCTTATTTTCTAATACAAGTAAAATGAGCAAGTTCAGTAACTATATGTTAGACCTTTAATTCCAAATTAATGTATTACTAACAGCCTTTAGGAAAATACTAAATACTAATACTCTGACTACATTACCAAACCCATATTAAAGCAAACATTTCCCTCAATTAAAAAAATTTTCAGCCATTTTTTCCCACACTTGATTTTGACTTGGACAACAACGACCACAGGAGATGAAAATGACTTCATTCTCAGGTAAAATACTTCCAAATTAGCTTTTAGTTGACACACTTGTATTTGTGACAATGATACAATGCCCTCATTAAAAATGAAGACTTTCTGAAAGCCTCAGAATGTTATGCCTAGGGCAAAATCAATTTTTACAAGTTTTTCTCAAATACTTTTCTTTAAAATAAAAGTGAAGTGTGGAGAGTCATTAACTTTCAGGAAAAAATACATTCAAGGGCAGAGAACACCTATGGGAAGGCTGTGCTAAACTCCAGATAAAAACATTCACATTTTGGTTATCCAGCATGAAAAACAGCAAAGAACACTGAAAAACGACATGTCAAAAGTTCTGGGTACTGCTTGTTAGTTCTGCCACTAAGTAATAATCTATTTATATCTTGGCTTTCCCGTTAGTAAATAAAGGGAAATTATAATGAAATTCTAATGTAAGCTTCCATGTCAACTCTTAAGTATGTCAAGATTCTTATGGTCAAGTTTTTGGCTACTTAAAAACAGAAAACTGATTTAGCCCCCCTCCTTCCCACGAGACCATTCTTTGTCAAGCAAAGCTTGAGTCTTATTTTCATATTTTCTTCCAACCAAAAATAAAAAAATAAAAAATAATAAAAGACATATTTAGTGTTTGTGCATCTTCTAATCAGACACTATTAACCATTTCTTTTAAAATTAAATTACCTACCTCACTGGGGTGTTGTGAGGATTAATTCATTAGTGTTTGTAAAGCACTTTGAGATCCTCAGGTCAAAGGCGCTATAGAAGTGCAAAGTAGTAGTATTATTACTAGATTCTTTGCTTATTTAAGGAATTTCACAATCCTTTAAAACCTAACTCCGTGTTATGATTTAGACATGTATTTGTAAAACCCTGCAATTTATCCACATTACTTTAAACTTTTAAAATATATTATAAATAGGGGCAGAATGTTTCAAAACAACTGATTTTAATGGTTAAACTCTGATCTACAAATGGAAGGAGAGAATGAATAAGAAAAAACCAAGTGTGACAAATTTTGTTTAGCAAAAAATTTTTAGTGAGAAATCTAGTCAATTAAATTTAGAAGTGTGCCTAAGTTGTAAGAAAAACAAAACAAAAGCCCACTTTAATTACAGATTCTGCAATTTTCTCTTTCTTCAAAAAGATAGCACTGCATTTTTAAGTTACTTTACATGCATGTACATGCAACTGTCATTTAAACCTTTACATTTAAATCACTGTAACAGTATTAGTATGAACTGACATCAAAAAAATTGAGCTGCTTTTTCTTTAAACTAGCCTCTCACCCCTCAGTTGTACAAAGTAAACCAAGCATTGAGAAGAAGTCAAAGCAACTTTGCTTTACGGAGTTTTAAAGGAAAAATTATAATGAAGGGCCAAGACTTCAAAACCGTTAAAATCTTGGATTATTCCATCACTTTCCACCCCCTTCTCTAATCAAGTATTTTTACAATTAGTGTTATGTTTTTAAACCAAAACAACATACACTCATGTACACACATGCACACATACAAAGCTAAGAGAACCAGAGCTGTCTATATATTGGACATTGTATTCAATAAACACACACTTCTTTAAAAATTCCAACATCCTCTGATGAGATTCTCCAGTGCAACCCAAGCTCTAGTCCCACGATCAAACCGAAATTTAGACAATAAACTTTAAACACTTACCTCCTGCTCCTGTTGAAAGATGACGACTCTACCACCTTTATCTCCTGTTGCTAGTAATTCTCCAGAATGATTAAATTCTACTGTAGAAATTATATCTGCTGTATAATTGAGACAAAACAAAAAGGTATTAGTTTTTTTTCCTGACTCACTAGTTTCAGAACTTAGCATGTTTTCCAAACATTCCAAGTCTATGAAGTGTATCTTTGAAGTACATCAACCACCCATCAGAAATAACATGAATCTAAAGTTCTTTCATATTTTGATCCACTAAAAAAATTCTCCTCAGAATAAACCAGTATGAAACTATTTTAGCAGAGAATACAACAAATAATAATAGCTTATTAATATTTCACTAAATTTGTGAATGCAAAGAAATCAACAATTTGTGAAACATTCTGATAGCACCCTTAAACATCATCCTGCTAATTTTCTTAAAATACTTTTGATAAGCTTGCTTATGCAAATGCAAATAATCATCTATAATAAAGGCACATATTACTAACAAGGGGAAGGAATTTTAAATGTATAAATACTTTCAGATGGAATTTTAAGTCATAAATTCAAAATCGTGGCTTCAAACAAATGTTTGCAAATGGATCCCGCTTTTTGATAGCAGAAATGCTTCGTGCTATGTGCCTGCAATGTGCACGGCTCCTCCAGCTCCACCATACTACAGGGCCACTAGGATCAGGCATGTCACATGGATTCTACCAACTCGGTGCTGACTTCACAGTCACAATCAAATAAAACTGTCAGGTTTTTTTTCTTGCTTTTTCACACTAGAGCCCTTTTCCTAAGGGAAAAAAGTCTAAATTACAGAAATGGGCATAAGATAAAGCAATAACACGGTACAATTCATCACTGTGTTATTAACAAGTTCTTCACTATAAAGCTTTAAGCTGAATCAGAAAAGCTCCTATCATATACATTTAAAACAAGTCAGTTTTATAAGAGAACAGCCATCCTTTGGTCTACAGTAGCTTACTGTTAAGAATTTAAGAATCTGACGATATATATACTTTAAAATTTTAAATTTACTGACATGTATTTTACCAATAACCTTTCCAGCACTGCATTTCATAATTTTCTTTTACCAATTTTTTAAGTTCAGATTTTGAAAAGGTTTCTTTGCTTCCTCCATTGTTTAGGTCCAAGGCATTTAATCTTTTTGAACTCTTTCAGAATCTACCAAAAGTTACAAATGCTCTCCCACGAAATTGCACATATTTAAGTGCTCATAAAAATGTGCATATTATCTCAGACTGTTTGGACAATACCTCACCACCAGGTTAAAAAACCCCTGGCTACATCACAGTGGTTACCAGGAAAGAATAAACTTAGTGTGTTCACTGCTTACCTAACGCACAAGGCGTAAAACTGAATATACCAGGCTAGTAAGTAAAGCAAACACCAGTAAGTACTGAGAAGTCGTTTGATTAGGAGTTCTGTACTGTACTACTGACTTCTACAGCAAATAAAGGATTAAAAATATACAAAGTCCCTGCACTTAAAGCACATTAGAGTACAACTTGGGGAGATAAGTAGGAGCAAAGAGTAGCAGACAAAAAATACTGAATCAAATTTTATTTGAGTGTTAGGCTTTAAAATCAAAGAATACAAACATACAGAGTCAAGATTATCTTTAAATTCAAATCCCTCACACAGACACTCCGAAGACACAAATTCTTTTCCGTAATACAGCTCAGACAATTTTCCCTACAGCATTGATAATTTGCTGTTTTTTAGCCTAACCATCAAATGAACTAGTTAATTTGAATATAAAACCATGCTGTACCAAAAATACCTATCTTTGATCTCTAAAATATGCTCTCAGCTTGGAGAAATGCTCACATCTGAAACCAATACCAGACTCATTCTCCTGTTCAACCAAGTTGTTGCATCCACTTAACCACAACTCCTGGTCAGGTTGATGAGCTGTTACAACTATCACTTAGTAAGAGAGATGTCAATGACCATGGCATGACTAGCCTGAAGCAGTAAAGTTAGATGGGTAGGTTTGGTGCAGGATTTTTTAAAAAAAAAAAAAAAAAAAAAAAAAAAAAGGCCTGTTTACCAGGCTGGAGTGCAGTGGCGCAATCAAGTCGAACTCCTGGGCTCAAGTGATCCTCCCAACTCACTCTCTTGAATAGCTGGTACTACAGGCCTGCACCACCATGCCTGGCTAATTTTAAAAAATTTTTTGTAGAGACAGGGTCTTGCTATGTTGCTCAGGGTAGTCTCAGTTTATGGCTTCCAGTTATCCTCCCACCTCAGCCTTCCAAACTGCGGGAAGTTTGTAAGAGCCACCATACCTAGCTGGGCTCCATTTCTACTAAGGAAGAAACCTTAATATTCCTTAAGTGAACTGAATACAGAAAACCTAGAGATGATTAAGTCAGTAAGGACAGCATTACAGTAAAACAACTGAGATTTCAGACTGAGGGGTGGGGTGGGAAGGCACATCCCACGCCAATTTATTATTTTTTCAGATGGGGTTTTGCTTTGTTGCCCCGGCTGGAATGCAGTGGTTCAATCATACCTCACTGCAGCCTTGACCTCCCGGGTTCAAGCAATCTTCCCATATCAGCTCCCCAAGTAGCTGGGACTACAGGTGTGGAACACCATGCCAGTCTAATTTTTTTTTATTTTTTATAGACAGGGTGTTGCCACGTTGCCCAGGCTGGTTTTGAACTCTTGGCGTCAAGCGATCCTCCTGCCTTGACCTCCTAAAGTGCTGGGATTACAGGTATGAACCACAAAACACAACACCTGGCCCTTATCTATTTTATTATAAGACAGAACAAGAATCAAGTAATAAAGCAGTAGGTACAATATTCCAAACTGAAGACGGGACTCACACAACCAGTTATAATGTAATCACTGAACATGCGAATGGAAGAGAAAGGTGAAGGGTGTATGGGGAGAAGAAAAAGACTTGATTGCAAGATGCAACAGAAACAAGACATTTGCTCCAATAATGTATCACTTCTTATGGCAGGAACAATTATTTTATGATGACATTTTTAGCGTAAAGTTATATGGTATGTGTTTAGCAGTGAACTAGTTTTGTAGCAAGGGTAAAGAATTTTAAGAGGGGCCCTCGTGTAAGGGTGAGGAATCCTAGAAACAACTGGCCCAAACAGCAAGTGGCTGGACATCAGGAAAGGGACAAGAACCAAAGATTTACACAATAAAAGTCAACTCACTATAAAATCCTTGAGGGAAATAAATACTGGGTGAATGGATTACCAATTTTTAGATTTTCTTAAAACACTGGTGTTTGTTACTATTTATCTTGCCAAAAGCCAATAAACAGAAAGTTTCAGAAACAGCCAACCAAGTCACTTTTTATCTGAACAGTGTAATTTTACTTCAGGGAGGGGTAGATGGACAGATTCATGGTCTCCTTGCTGAGATTTTTATACTGCATCTATTTAATGTAACCATATTTCTGGTAGGAAAAGTATTTTCCTGGTTTGTAAAACAGAATTTAAATATATCACCACATCATGGTGTTCCTTCCTCCTTTCTCCCTTAAACAAAAGAGAAGAAAAGAAAGATCATATATACAGTTACTCACTAAATCTCTAAGTTTATGGATGATGCTTTGAAAGGTTTTCTAAGTTGTGAAATGCCAATGTCTCACAGTCTCACTGGGAATATGACATATAAAAATGATGAAATAAGAAGGGAGAATGCATTCAAATTCCACTCATAGACCAAGAAAAACATCCAGGAATGAGTTACAGGGAGCACTCTGAAGCAGCTTTGTACCATATGTGCCACTGCATACTGGCGTGCCAAGAATGAGGTACGGTCTTGCCTGGTGCTGCAGAGCATCCAGATCTGTAAGCCCTAGTTATAAGCACCCTCCGCTGTGTATCCCAGTGTGCCACACAAACATCACTGCTTTTTAGGAATGCCATGACATGCAAAAAGTGAGGAAGCACAGTCCTGCAAACAGGGGTACCATTTCATGCTATACCCAAACAGGGCTGGCTAAATACTGGTATCCAGGTTTTAGAAAATAATCTACTCTTAGAAAATATTCTTCTCATGTTCTGATACCCATATGTAGCTAGCGGCTACCAGACTGGACAGCACAAGTCTAAAACATTACAGAGTGGATACTGCCTTTTTTTTTTTTTGAGATGGAGTCTCGCTCTGCTGCCTAGGCTGGAGTGCAGTGGCACGATCTTGGCTCACTGCAATCTCTACCTCCCAGGTTCATGCCATTCTCCTGCCTCAGCCTCCTGAGTAGCTGGGACTACAGGCAACCGCCACCATGCCCGGCTAATTTTTTTGTATTTTTAGTAGAGACGGGTTTTCACAGTGTTCGCCAGGATGGTCTCTATCTCCTGACCTCGTGATCCGCCTGCCTCGGCCTCCCAAAGTGCTGGGATTACAGGCGTGAGTCACTGCGCCCAGCTGGATATTGACTTTTATTGCAACCCCAAGAATGCTGGAACTAAGAGAATTCTGCACCTTTAAACAATGCACTCTATCATGTTTTTTAAAAGCAAAAACTGACATCACTGTCAGAGCTATCATACTGAATTTGTACATGGCTTAGTATATAGTACCTCAGTTGAGTTATATTCTCACAAACCACCACCACGAAAATGCCAAAGAACAAACCACTTCTTTAAAAGGAAATGAATCTGTCCTATGACCAATTACAATGTTATTTTAAAATGAAAAATGCCTGTATTAATCTTACAAAAGAAATTCTGTTAATAAAAAGAAGGACCTTTCAGAATATTAGTCCACTGCCCTACTATGCATTAAGTCAACCCAGCAATTTTAGACACACATTGATTTCCAAATTGTGCAACATAAAGACAGTATTTAAAAGGCATAAGAATATTTTTTGTTAAAAAAAAAAGTACTGTAATGTTCTTAAATTTTATTTATACACTACTAATGCAAACCAAGGGATTGGTAATTATACAGCATGAAATTCTGACTTTTTCCACCTCCTCTTTCTAAACTGTCAGCAACCAGGCAGGTTTCACTCTCAGAAGGTGAAATAATTGCTTTCTTTTGTGAGTGGAAGAGCAATTGGTAGTGGGAATGACAACAGTGTCATTGATTGGTT